GGGATGGTTGGTTGACGCAAGGGGATTAGGTCAGTCACTCAGTACTCATTGCCGAACCTTTAGGTTGGCCCTCTCGTCGTGAATCCCAGCATCCGACATCCGAACATCCGATCACCACGTGCACCACTGTTCCTCCCGACCCCAAGACCCTGTTCTCGATTCTGAGACGGACCACTCGCTAGCCCATGGGTGGCACTGCCAGATAGCTGACGGAAGCCGACGACGGCGGGCGGGGCGGTGGGCGGGGCGGTGGTGGCGGACGATGGGCGATAATGGTGGGATCAGAAGAGTCAACTGTCAGACCATCGGCCAAAAGTGGCAAGGAGGACAATGGATTGAAAATCCATCCGAGTCCTTCCGGAAAACCGCGACTGTGTGCACAGCTTGTATAGAACAACATATAGCTAGGATATGGCCATGAAAATGTTGCTACACAACGAGATTACTTGGTCCTGCCTCTCTTGAATTCCGGCCCACAGACACATCCTTGCTCTCAGCCTGCTCCATGACCTCCAGAATTTCTACCGCAAGTTTTGAATCATTAGCTGGATCCCTGTCAAAGAATAAATATCTTTCAAATAATCTTGATAGACGCAACCTACCTCATTGTTTCCCTCAACTTTCCGAGCATGTCATTCCGAGTCGCCGGTTCCAGATACAGTATAATGGGAGCCAATACCTTGCAAGCAGCAATCTGCTCTCGAATGTGGGATGATGCCAGTAACAGTCCCACGAGGGGAAGTATGCCTCCGGAGACAAGTTGCTCGGGTCCACCAGTGAGATGACAGATGCCCCCGAGTCTCCAAATGTCACCGGCAGGATCATCTCCAAGCCTAGACAAAATTTCCACATCAATGTTTTGACTTCATAAATAGTAGCTGGGGCCTGACCAAATCATACGAATCAGCTCGTGACAGAGATTCTGCTGAAGAATGTTCCTATCCGTCCAGCTCACATCTTGACTTCGATTTCGAAGCCGCGACAGAGTGTGATGGTAGTCTCCTTGGGCTGGCGCATAGATTTGCTGGTCCTGTTGTATAATGCGGTCAATTGCGAGGTAGCGCGGTGTATGATTCAAAGACAAACCCGCTCCCATGGCTCCGGGAGCTCGCGCTGCGAGGGAAAGACAGCTGTGGTAAAGCCAAAGACCTCACCGCGCCTTCGACCCAGCTTGGGTGGGGCGAAGTTGACTTTCCGCCATTCTGAAAACCAGGAAGGTGGTCGCTGTCCTGGGACCACGTCCACATGTGGGGCCAGCTCGATGCGCCCATTGCGGTACCGATAGTAGAGCCGCAAATAAAGCGGAATCGGGGTGGGGATAAAGTCTCCTCGAATTGCTTCCGCTGAACGATGCCGAGATTCTATGATTACAAATATTATTTGGAGGGCGAATAGGAATGCGGAGCATACCAATTTCTTGTATCACTGCAGCGGTCGGCCGTCGTATGATCCAGCGCGTAAGGAGGGTTACTGACCGAAGAAGAATCGGGCGGAATAGAATGCGCATTAGAGCGAGGGCACCCACCACGATAAGAACTGTGAGAAGAATGGCGAAGACCACGGGGACTTTCTGTTCATACCAAGTGAATGTGCGCGGGTAGACTATGAATGCGCAGGCAATGCCCACTCCGCAGGCCACGAGTACAGCCAGGATGACGGAGAGCCGGCGGAACAAGAGGAGTCCGTTGCGCCATTCCTCGTAGTGGAGGAAGCGGAAGAAGAGCCCGATGGAACTAGGGTCGTTGGCGGCCCATTCTTCCACGGTGATGCTGCCTGTTGAGCGACGAACGGTGCGCGGGAAGATGAATTTTCGGGAGTTGGTCTCGTATGCGATGAATGGGAAAGAGTAGTGTAAGAGTCCAAGAGCGTGCATGATGTGTCGCGAGAACCAGAAGCAGTTCGAGGACGAGAGTGTATAGTTCGGTTGGCGGGCAACGATTATCTCGAGATAGGAGGCGAGATGTGCGAGTGTGGCGGGCGGACCGCGCCACTTGTGGTCAAGAAAGTCGTAGAAGGCGGGGAGGACAACTGTTTTGCATACATGGGCACGAATGCAACGAAACGGCCAAGAGACAGACGCACCTCTGGTGTGGCGAGGAATGACCTCGGAGTCCAATTTCCGCACGAGGGCGAAGCAGAGCAGATGCTGGGCCAAGAACTCTTCATCTCGCGCATCGCAGGATCCGCATATCGTCGCCTTGTCAATGGCCCGTGGGTCGAATGTCGTTCGCCCGGCACGCTCGAGCGTCAGGTAGTACGCCGACGTCCTGGTTGCGTCCGTGTGCTCGAAGCGCAACAAGAGCGACTGGTGTTTCAAACCAAGCTTGCACTCCCACCACGAAACATCGGTGATGACCGCGTCCTTGAGGTGCTGCTCCGCGTGCCGAATCCAGGCGCAAAAGTCGGCGACGGTTCGCGACCCTACAGTGACCGTTCCGCTGTTCATCTCTGCGAGGCTGACTTCGACGCGTCCCCGTTCGATGTCTTTCTGTGGAGGGTCGCTAAGGCGCACCATGGGAGCGGGAGACAAGAAAAGCGTGAGAGTGCCCTGGAAAATCCTGGGAACTCGGAACGAGTCGGAAGGCTGCGCTTCACAGCTAAGAGCGCCAATCAAAGTCTCGGGCGCCTGATGTAAGGGTCACGGGATTACCCTTACATATTTAGATATCTGACATCATTTGGTCCGTGCGTAGGTACTTTTAGGTCGCATGTCACATATCTTAGACTTAGTGGAATCTACGCCAGTACCTGGCCTTTACTTCCTTCTTGCTCTTACTGGACCTTCAGCCTCTTCAGGACTTCCGTGCCCGTTACAGTTAGATTCGACTATACCCTTTGCGAGCCTTTTTCCCCACGGCTTGCTTCTTCGGCTGCTCCTCTGACAGCCTACGGACTTCTGCACCCGTTCTTTGGTGCAAACCCCTCGTTCTTGAGGCTGAGCGCCTACGTGCGTTTGTGCAGGTCATCACCCGTTGAAGCGTGGCTCCCCCTGCGTACTCCTTTCTCCTCTCCCTTCCCGAGCACTTCCGGTGTTTGCATAGGTCATCACCCGTCTTAACGTGGCTTCTCCTATGCACTCTCATCCACCATTTATTTCCCATTCTTTGTGCAACCCTCTCCCGGCATTTAGAGGTATGTGAAGCACGAAGAATCGGTGAAACTTCAACTTCTCCCTGCCGCCCTCACCACATTTAAAAAAAAAAATTTGGCAGCCCCTTCAACCCAATTTTTAACCTCCGTCCCTATCCCGGTCATGGTGAAGGTATTGAAATGTTTGGCTACATTCGGCACCATTTTTTGTGCGCGGGGAAACGGCAGGGCGTCGGCTGAACGTGGCGGGACAGTGCGCAAGCTAGAAATGCGGCTGCAACTCATCCAGCCATATGGCGTGGAGTGAGCCTGATGAGACAAGAGGCCAGGCGGCGGAGGTCGCCCGCGGGGAGCACGTGGGTGCAGTGATTGGGTATGTGCAAACAGCATAGGGTGCAATTAAATGCGCCGCCCTCGACGACGACTCTGCGGGAGCGGTACTGACCCAACGGTGTGTCGCAACACAAGTTGCGGCAGCGTCGGTCCGATCACGTGTCTTTGCGCATGCACGGCGGCCTAGATCATTATGTTAGGGCCCTAATTATTGGTATTTAAAGCAGTGCATTTTGTGAGGTATGCCTACTATGTAATCCTGTTGAATTTTGGGTTCGAGCCCCAGAGCTTGTAATTTCATCCCTTTCTGTCAACTTTCTGTGATAATTTATTTTTTAGCCGCCGCGTTTTTTTTTGGAAATGTAGTGTATTTCTTGTTTGCATCATGTCCTTACTAATCTGGCCCCTTTACACCGACTTCTCGGGCAGAGAGTTCCGCAGACTCGACGCTCCGGGTCCAAGAGTTCTCCCGGGCCCGGTAGGTAGGTAGGTAGGTAGAATTACACGGCACGGTCCCGCTGAGGAACGCCGGGGCCCAGGAATTATCGAAATTTACAGGCACTATGTAAATTGTTGTCCCTGGACTTCTCCATATCCCCGTAGTCGAGCTCACGGACGCAGTCCTCCAACTCGCTGCGGTAGAACTAAAGGAAACATGGAAAAGTGGTTAGTGGAAAATGAGAACCTCGAAACAAACTCGAAACTGGAACAGTTCAGATCTTTCACGTTGGAGAATCATACACGCATTGATACCGCCTTCAAACCTCTGTATCGGTCAGTTGCGCCATAAGATTTGCAGGTGTTGGGGTATAGCGGAATATTCGTCCAGGTTAAAAGACTCAAGCAGTCCAGATGTAAGAAGAGCTTGTCATTCGAGTCGAATTAACTCCTTCAACACCATTCCCTAATGCCCACCGATCTGCTGTCGTTTTTCCTTGACATCCTGGTAAAGGTAATGTCTGTTGAAACTAGCATAGGGCAGCGAAATGTGAGTCTTGACAGCTGTATAAATGAGCCGTTTCATGATTCAAGAGAGTGAAGAAGTCTCGAACCCGAAGAGGAATTATCCCAATTTCCGGGGTGGCGGATGGTTCATGAAGTGAGCATGGGGATTCAGATTGCGGCAAATATATGAAACCTAAAATGGGTATGTTGCTGGTCGTGCATTCCATACAGTGTTGCATTTCATATAAATATCCACCCATCACGTCTCTGATCACCAATGTTCTCCAGAATAACAAGCCGCATGTGCCCGCACATTTGGAGTCAATTAAGTATTGGAGAATTTAGCAATGCTTCCTCCGCCACTCATAGGCTCGCGGAGGGGGAGCGCAGTCGGAGTCGGGCTTTTGCCCTTTTTTTTAGATGATGGTGGGAGAAGCGGAAGCCGGTCGGCCCTGGAGAGAGCGTGGCCGTTTCGTGGGGGACGCCATAGGCGGGTTCGAGCCCGTCAATCGCTGAAGTAGCGAGAGCCCCTCTTCGGGAAGGCGAAAGGGAGAGCGCGCAGGTAGGGGAACGGGACCAACAGACGGTTCAGGAGCGAGTAACCCACAACTAGGACACACCAATGAGACATCTCCAGAATGGTGTAGGGGTAACATTACCGCCTCTCATGCTGGTGTCTTATGCATGCGCGGCAGCCCGGGGTTCGATTCTTCGTTCCGGAATGTTTGTCCATTAAGGTTTTTTTAATAATAGTGCAGACATGACAACTTCGCTCAGTGCTCAGCGCTCAGTACTCAGTACTCAGTACTCAGTTTTACCATCACGGGTGTTTGAAATTATGACGTCGGTCATACCGGGCAACTGCCGCGGAGGCAACCGGCATGCCAAAGGCAACCGGCTGCGAAGAGTACTTAGACCATGTCTATCGCCGCATGTATGCGGGAACCCGTCCGGGAGGTGACGCTAAATCCGCAGCCCGATGGAATAGACGAAGAAGGCGCGTGCATCGCTGTTGACTAGTTGCCCTGATTAACGTTCGATGGACGGCGACCACGTTTTATATGAGATCGGGGCCCCTTGAATAAAGCCAGGTAAGTTACAAGGTACATGGTCGATGTATCGCACGGTACCCTATGTGGCGCTCCCGCGGAACACATGATGTAGTTTAGAGTTAGATGTAGCTAGATGTTGCGCAGCATTCCAGTCGTTTTGCTCATGTCAAAGAAACTTCCTGCGCAGATCATCATCGGCTGCATAAGAAATTCCAGCCTCCTACTCCGAGTGTGTAGACAGACACACAACAAAAATTACGCACGCCGTGAATAGAGGCCTACCAGTGAGATGCAGACCTCACGTTGTCTGTGCACTCTCATGTAGTAATGTCAGAAAAACCAACTGAGCGACTCTCATATTATAAGGCCTTATAAGACCCTTATCGGGCAAGAGTCCCTTATAACCACCTTATAAGGCCTTATAACCACCTTATAAGGCCTTATAACCACCTTATAACCTGATTATAAGGTCCTTATAATGCACCAGGATTATAAGGCAATTTTGATTTTTCCGACATTAACTCATAACCTCCGTTCAACTTCAAACCCTGATCATGATGATTATCAGAGCGTGCCTGAACGTAAATATACTAGCCTCACGGCCGCCACTGCCGTGAACACCAAGCACGGCGTAGGCACATTAATCCCTTGGCGGCTCATCAAGGAAACAAATTAAAAGCACACAGCAACATGCTTCGCGGGACGTCCCGGTCTGTCTCGTGTAGCCGAAATATGAGATGCCACGCGGTTCTATCGAGAACCCTTGTTGTCAATACTCCGCTGTAATACCAGGCTAATATGGATCATATGCTTTCCACTGTCCAGAGGCTAGCTGACAAGTGGGATGGTTGGTCACACAAAGGAGGCGAGCCTAGTCACCCATGTCAGCTAAATACAAGTCTTTAGAGAGTGGGTTTGTGATCATTTGGCAAATCACGGTGGCGGCCTAACTCGAACGGCAGGGAGGCAGCCGTGTTACGATCATGACTACGGCACCACGGTTTGTCTTACGTATAAGGCGGCCGCTGACCGGATCACCATCTTCCTGGTTTCCGGCACCTTGCCGGCACCACGAAAATCGTCACGACCTTAGCAAGAGGCTACAATGGAGTTGACATTCCGGAACAATTGCACCGCCGAGCACGGTTTCCAGCCCTGTGGGCAACGAGCAGCACACAAGTTGAGATTGCTATTATAAGTAACTGTTATTCGCCTACTTCAGCCCCCGCACACTGCGCAGTCGTTCTGCCAAAAAAAAATTGATTTCTCGGCGCGCAAGATTTCCAATTCCGTCCGTCGAGGTCCCGCGCTGCATGTCCCACTGCCCGGCGCTGCAGTTGCATTCTTGGGGTATTCGTGCGAGCTGGAAGGACACGCCAATGTCAGAATGCATTCAATGGGCGACGTACCGACCAGAGACCCGCCATGATGCACGGCTACGTATACGATGCGCTAATGGGTCAGCAAGGAGGACGTTCTGCATTGCGCGCCAGCCTGTAGCCAGGAGCGTCGTTGAAGAACAAGTGAGAATGCCGCATTGAAGACGCCAATAAACAAAGAGGACATCCCAGAGTGCGCCGGCTACAGCCTAGAAGGATCTTACTGTTTTTTTTGAAGCTAGCCGGCCTAGATTACATTAGTCGGTGGCGAATCGGTAAACTAGGTGCGGAGGGTTGAAAACCTCCATGTTGTCGACGGCGACAAATGCGATGCGCAGATTCGCCGCAGAACGCTCGGCGGTGTGTGCTGGATAGTCTGCCCGACTAACACGTCCGCAGTAAGATCCACGTCAGTCCCCACCTGCCTTCTCTCTGAGCGCATTGTACCCCGACGATCCACGGTATCGTACACACAAGGTCTGCCAGACTCACAGATGGACGTGGTCTCCACGTGGGACGTTCTTGGACAGGTGCAAAGCCGGCACGGTGGCCGAGAAGGTCCCGAGCAATAGAAAGCGATAATGAGTGAATCGGGGATGGATAGGGCGGTGGGGAGAGCTGACGTGGCGGAGACATTGTCGGCGCAATGGTGATTCGTGAGCAATGCGAGCGCGCGCGCGCGTTTTCCGCGAAGGATCGGTATGCATGCGGCCGGGCAACGTGAGACGAATGGACGTGATTCAGAGGACATGGACAGCGATCCAGAGGTCAGGGCTGAGATCTGCGGAAGAGTGTTGCATCATGCATGGGCCTGTGGAGAGAGCAGCAGGTCAGTGGATGAAGGGCCGTTTGGAGCGATACGACGTACATCGTCTTGCTCGAGCACCCAACACCTCGAAAAACGCGTCTCCCTGACTGCAAGGAGTCCCAAAGAGTCAGTATACACTGGGTGGCATGAAGGGAAAGGCCGCCCCGCCCAAGGCCGGGCTACTTTGGGTCGCGTCGTGCAACTCGGACCAAGCAGACATCGTGCCACGGGGGCAAGACGCAAAAACCAGCCAAAAAGTCTGTAAAATGAGCTTGCCGTCTGCCCACGACGCGTAAATCACGCGTAACTCGAGCTATGCAGGTATCTGGGGTGACTGGGGTGTCTGGGGAGATGGTGGTGGAAGCAGAAACGGGTAATGTCACAGTCACGATTAAATACCGCTCGCGCTACAGTCTGCAATAGAGAGAGACTAAATCTGCGAGCTCTTGCGCTACAAATGGATCCATCAGCTGGCTCTTGGCAGCAGATCGAAAAACGCCCTATTATACTCGTAATATTATTTCTTTTCTTATTCTCTGAAAATTGTAGACAACAAAACCGCCCACTAAATCCATGAGCAGCCAATCAGAGTGTTGGTCTATGAATTTAGTGAGCAGTTTAGTTGCTATTTGGTTAACTGTTGCGGCAGCTCTCCCAAACAGCTCGGGATACTTAATTTGTTGGGCCAGAGGCTTAGAATATGAATCCACGGACGGAATCGCACGAGCTCGAGGTTCACTTGAAGCTAGTACCGGCTCGATGGCAGGGCTGCCACATCTGCACCGGTCCTTCAAACAGTTCGATGATGCCCGTTCGACTCGGGCTCGAGCCGTGGAGTTAGAAATTGTAACTGCGATTCCATTTTTTATGCTGAAGGGAACGGCCCAGCGTTGAGTTGTGACGTGGTAGATGGAGTGTCCGACCCCGACGCACACAGGACAAGCTGAACAATCCAGGAACTAAGGAGAGGCGATATCGATGGCGGCTTTTATACGACCCGGGGAATCACGCGTCAGCGGCGTCACTTAGGCGGATCTCATCAATGCGTACCCGAGTAAGTACGACAGCCCAATCCCTCCGGATATCCGGACATACTGCACTCTGCACATCGTCGGCTTAGCCGGCAAGTCTTGACATCCGTTGGAGATCATACAATTTACATAAATTAAGTATTAGTATGGTCGCAAAGTTTACTTAAAACTTGGACACGACTCTCAACAGACCTAAGTACTATCTGTTGATATGTATTATCTGCATCGCGACCGGGCCGGACCGAACATGGGTTCAGGGTTCAAGGTTCGAGGATTTTGAGCCGAACCTGAGAGTTACAACGTCCGTGTGCCGCACGGTGTGCGGCTGAGCGTTGCTTCTACCGACGCCGACTTCTACGGCAGATCCAGAGTGCGGTACGCACTCAGTCCGTCGCAAGTTGCACGCTCGCCCTCGTGCCGAGTGGGGCGATGAGCGCCGTAGAAACTTTTCAGATAAAGTGACCCTGATTCTGACTTCGGAAAGTCCCAAGTACGGAAACCCATATCATACCACCTATTGACGGTCTAGGTCTGGTTTCGGGTAGAGAACTTCTGCATAAATAAGTCCTTGATTGTGCAGTATACCATAATTTGCAGCATCGATTCGTTGGGCATGGTGTACTTACCCGGGAGATAAGCATGCCTGGCCAGACCCGTGAAGGAGCGAGTGCTTTTGGGCGCTGACAGTGGCCGGACAAAGCACTTGGAATCACAGTTCAATCCCGAGTCGCCGCCGTCGCCGTAGACTGTTCATAAGATCCGCGCCATTGAGACGGTTCGCAGGTCAGGCCAAGGCATGAGGTAATGGCATCAAAAATACCTACACTAGGTCGAAAACCGAATTTACATGGAGTGGTCCAGACCCTCCCTACCCTATGAGGCGGGAAGGGCCGGCCCGGGCGAGCGGTAGGGCCCGCTACCATCGCTGGGGTAGCGCCATCGCATGAAGCCGCGAATCATGATGATCATATCCCATTGCTCCATACCCAGCAGCATTACTAGTATCACGAGGTAGAGAAATGGGATCAGCAATTATGTAAATCAGTGGGACTCGAGTCCCTCTCTCACTCTTCGTATAGAGTAGACTCTTCCATGATGTTGACACTGAAACTGACATCGCGCCGACCCAAGACTCTACGACCCCAGAGTTGAAATGCTAGTGACTTCCGCTGGCACAACGAGCGTGCTATAGCGCTGGAGCTGGCCCAGCTTCACGGAGTCGCTATGTAGTGCTTTCTTTGTTCTTTCGCAACGACCTGCCGACGGTGTAAATCGACCAAGATGGGACCATCGAATATCAAGCTTGACATGTAGACGCAGTAAATATATAACGTACTAACTTCATTCAGCGCTGGGGACTCGGAGACGTTGAGGAATTATTGACGCCTTGGGCTTGCGGTTCCATCATGTGTATCAAAAGCTGAATCGCATTCGATCTGCGGTCAGACGCTGTTATAATTAAAAAGTTCGAATGTCCAACGCAGCTACACCGTAGTACGTACGTATATGAAGTTAACAGATATTCCTCAATATATGCACTATTCCGACGCAACAAAACCACTTCACGCGATCGTGCAAATTTTATCAAGACTGACTGCTCGCTCGACTAGCTCGTCTCGGTCTTGATCCTGCGCGGGCCGTCATTCAGGAATTTATTCACAGCGCTGTGCGTACCGATAGACCAGAACGGACGTGAAGCGCATGGTGAGAAACGCAATAAAGTAGTAAGAGCGAAGGCGAAGAGAAGGGGTTGGCTGAGAAGGCAGAACAGAACGAAGTTGGGGCGCTATATGCCTCTTTTTAAGGCTGACGCTCTTCAAACACATGCTTCGCTCACGGTCTGTCGGACCGAAGTCCTACGGCGGGAAGCAGGGCCAAATAGCGTGATCTGAGATCTTGAGCGGCTGCAATTCAAATTGTGCTATTTACTGTTGTGCTGTCACAGAGACCGCCTCGAACTATTCTGGCCCACTGTTTCGGGAACCCAGATGTTTGGGTGACAGAAAACCGAATCGCAGAATCGCTGCGGACCCCCGCAAAACCAACTATCACATTTCCCTATTTCAAGATCTCGCTGAAGGGAGTTCCGTAGATATGAGTTTAGCAGTTTGGTTCAGGAAAGTCGCGACTCGCAACTGAAACCTGCGTTTTTCTTATCTAATGAAACTCCGCCGGATAAGTCCGAGAGATAAGATAATACCGTCTTTGAATCACACTCTTAACGCCGAGACAACTGGACCCCTGTCAGGTGCGACGCGGCGTTCAGTTGAACACAAAACGCGCGTATGATGCCGGGCCTGCAAAACAGGGGCCCTGGGGCACCGGCATTTTGTATACCAGTTGCACGCCCTTTCGATTGCCTTTCGATCGGCAACTCTGGAATCTTACACAATGTCACCGTGATGTAACACTGCCCAAGGCAGGTCGGCGACGTCGGGCATAACCGCTGATCACTGCTGATCAGGGGAGGGTTCCCGACGACCGACAATCTTTCCGTTTCAGGATTCGGGCGAATTCAGGCGTTGCCGATCAGGGCCTCATATGGAAAAATCAATTAGCTTTCTGTAGAGCTTGAGGGCTTCCTGAAACCGTTCCATGGATTCAAGTACCTGCGACAAGCCGTGAAACGAGTGACATCACTGTTACTCAGCTGCATGGTCGGCGCGACAGACGGGCGGTAGCGGGACTGGTGTTCACTAGTTGTGAAACCCGACTGAAATTTCACGAATCGCTTCCTACAGATGCCGACAAACTTAGAAACCAGTATTTGAAATTATAGTTGCCTGGTTGCCCTCCGGGGTCCTGTTCTGTGTGATGCAATCAAATCTAAGGGTTGGGGTCCAGACGTCCACCGTTATGGGTGATTATTGTGTGTACGACACTACCGACCTCGACCTCGTCCCACATGCACCCGTCGCGTCGCGTCTCACGTCGCTAATTCAGATCACGTACATATCTTGCAACAACTCGCTTTCACCTGCAGTACATTGTCGCTGGCGACGGCCGCACAGTGTCCCCGCAGGGTCAAGGTCCAGTAAGCATTCTCACTGCACACTTTCAGCATTTTTTTCCCCCATTGCTGGGTCCGCAGGTTCGGCGTTCAGAGAATATACCCCCTGAACCTGCACCGAACCGGACCATCCCAGCACTAGGACCACACTCCAACAGACCGTTCAGGAGCGACTACCCTGCCTTTTGCCGAGGAATTTCCTGGAAAGTATAGCGCTAGTCACAGGCCGGACAAATCAAACTTGTCCTTCAGAATTCACAGGATGTCTCCGAAATGGTGTAGGGGTAATATTACTGCCTCTCATGTGTGTGGATTCATAATATGCATGCACGGCAGCCCGGGGTTCGATTCCTCGTTCCGGAATGTTTGATCATATCTCTGCATTTTTTATAGTGCGGACATGACAACGTTGCTCAGTGCAATTTTACCATCACGGGTGTTTGAAATTATGTATACGTATGATCCATTCTCGGACATGACGTCAGAGTTTGACCCAGGTGGGCGTCGGTCATACCGGGCAATTGCCGCGGAGGCAAACGGCGTGTACCGTTGTCGAGGAGGGTCATGGTCTGGAAAAGGAAATAATGTGATGATGAGCCGTGATGCAGTGGTGGGGTCCCTTCCGTGATGAGTCACCTTCCACCCGTTGCGTCACGTGTGTACCGCCATCGCCGCCACCACCGCCAGTGGGCGCGTGCACCTTGTTCTATATCCTCTTGAAAAAGGCGCGCAGGTGGTGGGCAGTGAGTGGCGGACGGCAGAATAGGACAGGCGGGCAGTGGGTTGCGGGCAGCGGTGGGGGCGGGATAGGCGGCGGCGGAGGCGCGCAGGCGGCGAACGGCGGAGGCAGTGGGCGGCGCAGGCGGTGGGCGGAGCACAGGTGGGCGGCACACAGGCTGGCACAGGCGGGGGACGGCGGGGGCACGCAGGCGATTGAGGTGCGCAGCCAACGGGGCGGCGAGCGGCGCACAGGCGATGTCATTGTGCCTTGTTACGATCATGACTACGAGGACCCCAGATTATCCCCCAAGAGGTCGTTGTGAGATTTCGATGAATTTTCAGATTTGTCCGAACTTTGGGTCGCCGCGAGGTCGAAAGATTTGTCCGAATTCCGCTCATGACCTGGCCTGTGGATTGATTTTGTCCGAACTTTGTACATGTCATTTTTTTAATTGCGGAAAAAACCCAGACAATTCGCGAAAATTCGAAAACACCTGCCACAATGATGTCCGAACTCCCACAGTGACCTTTCGGCCGCGGCTGCCTTGTCCGAACTCTCACAACGACCCCAGCCACCCGAGGTCCAATTTTGTCCGAACTCGCACATGACCCCATGGATCGATTACAAAAATTTGTCCGAACTCTGACAACTACCTCTTGCGGGATAATCTGGGGTCCTTGACTACGGCACCACGGTTTGTCTTACATGATACCCAGCCAGCCGATTGGCATTGGGTGACCGCTCACCGAATCATCTTCTGGTGAATTAAAAAATTTGCGTTCGAGCCCAGAGCTTGTAATTTTATCCCTTTCTCTAACAATTTATTTTGAGCCGTGGGAGTTTTTACTGATGGCCTATGCGCTATCTCCGAACTATGCATACATATAAGCTCAAGCCTTCCATCCTTGAGGACACTGTTGAAATAGGCCTGTCACGCGTCCTATCCCCATCTTGGTTTAATTTACAGCCAAGGAGCTATTTGCGTACACATTGTCTACAGCTTGCTCTACAGCTTGTCCGCAGTGTTTTACACCTATTTACAGCTTTACAGCCTTCATTTACCTTATATACGGCCGATAAAGCACCCTAAATATCATTCTGGTTTCCCCTGCGGTCGCTGTGTCACAGTGTGACTGTCAACTTCCAACAGGTTATGGGCCCCGACGCCCTGGCCCTGCTGCTGCTTTCGTGATGAACTGCTTTCCTCTATCCACATCCCCCCGTCCTCCCCGCCGTACGCATAAGCCCTCGTTCTTGAGGCATCCGACTCTTCCCGAGACTCGATGACCCGAACTGCGAACCTGCGAAACGAATGCAGTGCCGAATGCTAGCTCCAGGATGGAGGCTATTATTGTCCGACTGTGCGAACCTGCAAAACGATTGCAATGCCGAATGCTGGCTCCACGATGGAGGCCACTATTGTCCGACTGTGCGAACATGCGAAACTGCGAACTGCGAAATGGAAAGCACGCATGTTGGCGTGCGTACTGGATGAATTGACGATGAAACGTGGACGGAGATTTTGACTGCGTGCCTGTGATCGCTGGTGCGACCGGACCGACCTGGTGGAGTTTTGAAATTTGGAGTGGACTTTGGAGTTTTGGGACCTCGCCCGATGCGAGGAGATTTCGACCGCGGCAGGCTTGGCAACGATTGCCCGCCGATGCTAATACAAGATCAACTCACACGAGGAGACGCGATGAATGGCACATCACGCCAGTGGGAGTATTGTCGAGATTTCTTTGATTTCTTGTTTCGATTTTTGACTTCGTTTCTGCAGGACGCGCGACTAGCCAGTGGGAGTGTTGAAATAGGCCTGTCACGCGTCCTATCCCCATTGGTTTAATTTATACAGCCAAGGAGCTATTTGCGTACACATTGTCTACAGCTTGCTCTACAGCTTGTCCCACAGTGTTTTACACCTATTCACAGCTTTACAGCTTTCGTTTACCTTATATACGGCCGATACAGCACCCTGAATATCATTCTGGTTTTCCCCTGCGGTCGCTGTGTCACAGTGTGATTGTCAACTTCCAACAGACACTGCCATCAAGATGACCTCCGTACGCCAGCCAGACGGCATACGAAGGCATTTGCGAACCAGCACACGAACCAGAGTATGGTCGTTTCGACTACTCGTCATTTTCAATATCGGCTTGCTGGCCATGGCAATTGCATTTATGGATCCGCTGGGGATTGTGATAACGATTCTCACCCTTTCCCATCATATCTTCCAGTAGGTTCCATCGAACATTACGTTCTCCCGCAATATTCTGATTCCATGCTTCCAGGCTGTTTAAACCCGGGAATGCGAGGGTTGATATTATGCTAGTGTCCGGGGAAATTATTACTTTTTTTGTCTCTGGTGCGAAGCTGTTGTTTGTTTTCTAGGTCCTTCTCATTCCTATGCAGCGGTCACGGTGTCTTCGCCTTTCAATGCTCTGGGTCTCATCCCGTTATTCTTCGCGCTTCATTTCCGATTGTTGGGGAGGCGACATAAAACATTCGATTTTTTCAGCGGATGTGACTTGCAGCAATCACACTACACACCGTGGAGAATCCTGTTCGGGCTCCGCGAGCCACTCGTCAGGTAATTGTCCTGGCTTACAGCGCAATGAATTACCTCATTACATATATTCCGAGGGGAGAATCATCGGTCATTATTGGTATCCGAACATTTGTGCTCTTCAGTTTATGTTTCGTAATCCCCGCATTCGGCGTTTATGTCATGTTTTTGGTGCCGATTGGATCCCAGGCAATGACAAGAGATGTAAAAATCTCTCAATCCTGGAAATCCGCCCCGTTTACGGACGACGTTTCAGAGCAAAACATCACCATTGTTTTGGTTAGTCCTTACTCCTATACTCGATGGAATATTTATTCACAGTGTTTTTGATCAGCTGTATGTTGGTAATACAACGTCGGTTGCAAACGTGACTGTCGGAGATCAGCAAGGCTGCACAGATGTCAACCTGTCAGCATGGTCCCCACAGGCGACTGCCACTTGTGCGTTTTTCATCAATCCTTCACGATATCGAGAATGAATAAACATCAGGTCCCTTGTGGTGGTCCGCCTCTATGCCGGGTGGGATCGTTCTCAAAGCGAATTTTACGGATTCATGGGGGATTCTCTATGTCAAGCCGGGTCAGGGCGATCCGTTCGATGTCGACACATATACGGAGCCTATTCCGCTAATCGCTGGGGCTCGCCTTTCTGCCGTGCTCAGTAGGACAAACAGGAAGATATTTTCCAAAAGCGCCCTGGATATCCTCGGACTCACGACGGTGTGTATTTCGGACGTTCAAACAGATCTTAATGATAACCCTAATCTCTAGCCCCTGCGAACGGTCATGGTGAACTCGGTTCTGCTTCTACAACAGGATCCGAATCCACCAAATACAACGGATACAGCGATACTACGTCTGGTCCAAAGGACCGACACTTACCCCTTTATTCCGAACAGAGTCGTCGAAGATTTTACCGACGCATCCGTACTTGCTGGGTTCGCCACCCTCGGGGGGTTCTGGACGTTCATGGACGGCTCCTTCGCCATACTCTTCGGCGCCAATCTCTTGTATTTCCTCTGGAGTACGTATTCTTGCCTTGATAAATCGGATGAAATGTGCAGAATTCACGCCGTGCACAGGAAGAAAGCCGCTCTCCGCCTTCGGAATGGTGCATGTGTTTCAGCGACGCGCGCTGATGCGAAATTGGAACAGGGATTTCCCCGCGCTCCACACTGAGGGCGGCTGTCCAGGATCGGAGTCTGCTGGGATAGTCGCGTTCATTCGTGAACGGCTCATAGATCTGGATGATCCAGTCCCCAAGCCAACGGACCCCGAATCCCCGGAGGACTCGGCCATCCCTCAGCCAGTTGTTCCTGTGGAGGGAGACAATAAGACTGATACTGATAGTCACTTGGAGAACGACGAAATTTCACCCGGAGGATTCGAGGTATCGGAAGGTCTGGTGTCTGATCCCACCAGGGAAATAACGAACGACGAAACCTCGGCACTTGCCATTCCCCTGGAATCCGTCACTCAGAGGGCCGTCAGTTGATCAGCTATGGGTGTAGGGCTTTACGAGTAACAGGTCGGAAATGTTGAGTTTCAGAACACCACAAATCTCTTCAATGCATAAGTATGTAATACAGAGTCAAAACCCAGATCCGAAAAAGACCCGGATCCGAAAAATCTTGTATTACAAGCCATACTCTGATGGAGTTGGCCCTTTTTTTTTTTGGTACTCCTATAGCACTTATAAAGAATGTTACTCGCGCAAAATTTACTGAACCAATCATCTGTTAGAATAAAAAATCGAAAACGTGCCAAAACCTGGCTGTGCTGGAAGTCGACAGAAATGAGCTGTTGCTGTGAGTGTGTGCAACAAGTTCAAGACTCAACATTGTATATTTAGGGGCTTCAGAAGTCCCTCTATCTCATAGTGACAGCAAGTCAGCATGCCATGCTGACTTGCTGTCACTATGCAGGTGTGATCGGCATGTGAATGCAGCCTGATTTTTCGGATCGGGGTCCTCAACCAAAATGGGGCTTCAGAAAGAATGAATTCCGGCTCAACAGCACCCTGCCCTAAAAATCTGAAAATATTTGAGAATGCACTAACGACCCGTTGTATCCTTTC